ACGCTATACTTGCACAGGAGTGCCCAGGCACCATCTGTCTGTCTGTGCAGCCAGTCCTCTCTATCTTTGTGTGTGCGTGTGCGTGTGTGTGTGTGTGTTTGGGGTACTGGTGCAGCCGTGTGCATGAAGGAGCAGGCCGCACAGCTGCATGTCCTGATGCATTAATACTGACACCTCCTCCGGCCTGGATGGAGGTAAGAAAGAGGCAGTCTGGTACTGTCCTACACAGCCAATATTTCACATTTTTAAATAAGTAAAATGGGTCTTAAATGTGAAATATTGGTCAAATGTGTACATAATTAGATGGTTTTAGGGTTAAAAATAATTGTAGCTATTCATTTATTGTTTTTAAAAAGTGTGTGCGTGTGATGATACATGTTATGCTTATACTAACTCATTCCCCTGAGCCATTGAGCTTTATTGTCTACTTTAATGTCAGTGTTTACTATATTTGACCTATTTTAGACCAATGTTTATACTGATGACATATACGTTTAGTGACCATTTAGTTAGATTAGTTTATGTTTAGGGTATTTTGATGGTGTTAAAGCATTTTTTGGCTTGTCAATGAGGCTTTATATTCAACTTTCTCAAATATTAAAAGTGTTAGTAATATATGTGTTAAATACTTTCTGTAAAGTGTCTGGGCCCTTATTCTATAGCTTTGGGTAGATAATGGGGGTCCCATTTCAAATATTGCCATTATGTCTTCTGATTGTACCTGTAAAATGTTCTGTTTGCGTGAAAAATTGTTGAAGAGCCGCCCTATTGCACACAGTGGGTGTTTCTCAATGTAGAGTACGCTTGCTTGGTAGCACATGTCTTCAGAGTAACTTGCTTCAGAAGCGAGGCAAGAATAATTCCTGGCATTCGGAAAACGAAGAGTGGAACAGGCGAGCAAGTGTGCAGGTGTGCTTCATATGAGAGGCCCCGCCTTACATTTTCCGCCACAGATTTGGGGAAATTGGTCCGTGCACAAAGCATTGTGGGGATTTTAAGACCGCGGAGTCTACACATGTGCAGCCTCGAAATGTCTCGCTACGAAGTACGCCGAGCTCGGTAGAATTCCAAGAATGATGGAAATTGGAACATTACTTCGGCGGCACTCGATGACGTAGTATGCTTGAAATAGTGGCTCTGGAGCAGCTTTACTCGACATTGAGAAACACCCAGTGACATGCTTCCTCATTAACATTAATTCCCACACTGTAATCTATTACTACCAAGTCCCACATTCAAAGTCCTACTGCCTGAAATATTCACTAGAGTAAAAAATGTGTTTTAAAATCTGTGTTGAACATTTCCCCCAACAATTGCACTATTTCCTTCCACCAACGAACATGTATTTGTAACACAAAGTATTGAAAAGTATAAAGAAATGATAGTCAGCATTAAATATCTGGTCAGATTCTTAAGGTTTGATGAGATTGTTTTTGATTTGAAACGTTCCTAATTACATTTTATTTAGGCAAAGATTTGGTTATATATTTTAATAAAATTAAGAACAAAAATAAAGACTTATATCTAAACACACATATTGCGCCTAGTATCGGAAGGTTTAAAATAATATACTGCGGTATATTTCAAAGATATGACCATGACAAACTTGTGGAATTTGGAAAGAGCAACACCAGACAGAGAAGCACTTTGCAGCAGGGAAATAAATAAAATAAATACAAAAATAAATTTAGTTATTACTGCTTACACAGAAAGTTGGAGGCATAATAATGGACAAATAACTCATTTAAACATCCATCTGCCAGTGAAAAATGAATACAAAATAATAGCAATAATAATGAGTGATTAGGATAGAGGCAAAAATAAATAAGAGAAATGAGTGTCAAGTGAATTTAAAAATAGAAATAGGACTACAGCAAGTACAGACATAATAAAAATTGAATATAAACATTATTACAGATGACATAAAGATGAAAATAAAGATCTAAAAAAAAAAGTTTGACTTAGAATAGCAACAAATAACTTTAAAATGAACACAAACAACACAAAAGCTCTCATTGAAAGGGAATTTAATTCGACTCAGAGAACCCTGCATTGCATGACGTTAAACATTACAATGCCAAAACCAAATGCAAACCACCAGTGTCAGGACATCATAATAAATACTCCAAAGCGGGACACCGAAAGCAATAATACGTGTTGCAAACCGAACACACTTTGCAAGTCATCTTAATGCTTTGAAAGAAAGGCTTAATGTCGGTCACTTCCACCGCAGGATCAAGTCTCTTAAGCTCACTTATCAAATATCACACGAGAAATAAATCCATCACTGTCCGTTCACATCATTATAGCATTTCATATTCAAAAACGGCATGAAAATTACATTTAAATAAAAATATTGAAATCCGCCCATATTTGTGGAGCCACCTGTACTGTATGTAAATGCACTTAGAAAAGGCCTGTTGTTGCTCATGGTCTTAAAACGACATGATTTCAATGCATGGCGACGATCCAGCTCTAAAAGAAGAAGAAAAAATAACCGAGGACGAAGGTACTTTTTATTTTTTCTTATAATACTGGAAGCTAGCAGGGTTAAACTGCATCTGGCGTATCTTGAATATTATTTTAAATTATTGTAAGGGTTTTTATTTCTATTCTCGTTATGAGTTAGGTGTTTTATCTGCTTTCCAAACAGCCCTCAGGCTAAGTTCGCATGTCTGTTCTGCTTCATTAGCCTATGCAAAAAAGTGGTGGCCTGAGACAAGGAATCCATGAGCATCGGATGGATGCGAGAGAAAAAGCTCCGGCCTTTGTTGACACAATACAGTGTTTTTACAGTGTGATTGATAGAAAAAGACAGCAAATCAAAGGACTGAAGTTAAGGATGAAATACAGTGTGATTTAAATGTTCTTCAACGGCAGCCAAACTGTAAATGAGTTTGATAGGCTGCCAATAACACCTTTACACTCTGGAGACATCACCATTTAAAGGACTAATTTGTATACTCAGTGCATTGCACCTGGGAGACTTTTACAAAAGAGAGTTTTTATTTAAAACAAGTACAATGACAAAAAGATAAGTCTAATTTAATAATTTATACCTATATATTTAAACATTGTATTTATTAATTTTGACTTTTTTTATTCTTTACATTTCATTTACTTTACATTTGACTATTTATTTATTCTCTCTTGTATTCTTTGAGATTGTTATTTTTACAATTTGTGTTCTATTGTTTTCATCCAAATGTCCTTTCTATGTATAATGTGGCTGTGCAATATCAATGTAATATCCATCCGATGTACTATGTGGATACAGCTGAATGAAAATGGAAATAAAAGTAGGCCAAAGTGTGAATATGTTTGTTTACTTTTAAATTGTTATTATATTGTTTATTTCTTTCGATGTATAAACTATGAAAAACTGAAATGAAACTAAGTGCCATGGTTTGGCAATAATAGTTCAACATGAGGCAACTCCTTAACTTTGATTTGTTGTGCATGTTAAAATGTGTATTTTGTTAAGTCTAAATGTATTTTCAAACAAAATATATAAAGAATCCTTAAATGTTACCTACTAGAAGTCATTCAACAGTCTATAACCCTCAATGATTTTGTATGTAGATGTATTGACGTTTCTTCAACAACTCCTTAGGCCTGTACTACGAAGCCGGTTCAACCTAACCTGGATATGTTTGAGTTAGCCGGTTGGCCTAATCCAAAACATACGCGCTATCGCTAAACGGTCCTACGACGCGGGTTATCAAGTGGATCGCTCAAGCCAGCCGTGTCCTATCTAGTTAGGTGTGCGTTCACATAAAAGGGGCGGGGTTAGCAACATCTGACCAATCACAAACATGGAGAAGCGTACTGACAGCACAGCGTCATACTTCCTGAATGAAAAGTGAAGTATAATATAGACAAATATGAAGACGTTAAACTTTAAACATCCATGACTTAAACACTTTATCCAGGATAAAAGCCACATAGTTGCACCTGCAAGGTGAATACAGCTGGTAACAGAAAAAGTGTTTGAATGCGTACATTAACAGGTTTATGATATCACTGCCCCGTCTAAGACACGATCTGACTTTAATTACATTTGTCTCGAGTGTTTCCTCAACTTAATGTGTTGCTTAAAATAATACTTCTGCATACAGTATGTGACACTGTAAGTGTTGCACGGCCAGATACGGCTCAGCTGACTCAGATAAGGAAATATATGATACATTATGATGTGATATGCCGCGGACTGTACTTAATGTTACTTTGATCCGGTTACTTATGTTGTGGCAGATATTTAAGTAAGCTTTCTTAACGCTAATGTTATAATAGTCAGATTGCTCTGAAGATGGGAGGTGATATTCTATTAATGTTCACGTTCACACAGTCGGTGATTTTTACCGGCCGTCTTTCCTGAAACGGCAGTTTTTCTGTATTTCCTTTCTCCTGTAATATGACTTGATAGCTTTAAACTCTGCACACTGAGCTCTGATTGGTCAGTAGGCGGTGCTTTCACTGAGTTGATCTCTTAGCCTGCAACCTAACCCGCTCCGGAACAGTTCAGCCGCTCAGCATAAGTTACCATGGAGATCTAGCCTGCTAAAAGAGAACCAGCGTCGTAGGACCGGAAACCCAGAGTTTTCCCTGAAGTTAGCCGGCTAAGCGAAAATCCGGCTTCGTAGTACAGGCCTCTGCTGTTACATGCAATCAACAACCTAACAACAACAAAATAAAACTACAACACATCCAAATAAAAATAGTGTAAATAATTTCCTGCATTCCGAGGCAAGATGTCACCAAGCTACCAGTCATGTCATAACTCATGTAACTAGAGTATAAAGAGATTACGAATGATTGACAAGTAAGGGATAATGTGTAGCGATCCGATCATTGCTACGAAACCAACCCTGATACGATGAATCCTTGCTTACAGCTATATTACAGTGGGTTACAATCCTTTAAGTGTGTTTGGATGGCTTATACATGCACAATATGGGGTTAAAGTGAAGGGTTAAGATGTGCATGAGTGTGCTTCCTACCCAGAGCGCTTGGTGATGGTGCCCAGGGTCATGGGCTGTTTGATCTGAGCCAGAGGCAGCACCACGGTGAGGCTCGGCAGTGGGGCCAGCCGCGGGTTCCCCATGTTGTTGTTGGTGAAGTTGTTGTATGAATCCTGGCTGCTCAGCTTGGCTGGAAACACACAGATATACAGTATTACAAGTGTGAAAAACATTGGATTTTCTCCAGGTTGGGAAAGCTTTTTAATAGATTTGAAGGGAAATATTTCAATCGAGAGCCTTCCAAGTAGTTGTACTGAGAATCATACTGTGTGGTATCTGGTCAAACCTTTCACACGTGATAATATGTTTTGGTGAAAAGCAGTTCCTTGTTTATCGTTACAGATGAATCCCAAGTTCTAAGTTCGAGTTGTATTAAAAATTCCCTCATTCACTTTTATCCATTGCTCACTTTGAATTGCAGATAACCGGGTGACCTTCAACATTTTATCAAAATCGCAATATCCACATTTCTTGGTTAAGGCAAAATATGTGAAAATATAATTCTGAATGAAGCAGAAAAGTCTCGGCCTACAAACGATACTTTTTAAAACTTGTTTAAAATATTTGATAATAGCTTATTTTTTGGTACAACCCTTTAAAAAAAAAGTTACACAAATATAATTTAAAATACATTTTTCAAAGATAGTGTTAGTATGTTTTTAAAATGATAATTTGGGCCAGGTGAAAGCTCAGTGGTTAGTGCTAGTGGCCCCAATGCGGTGTCTGTTGCCAAGATGAACCCACGGATATCATCCCCTCTATCTCAAAGAAATAAATATATGTATAGTTACCTTGAATATATCGAAAGAAATTGCAATTTCAGTCAAAATACTCGCAATCACGTTGTTTACAAAACTGAAACACCTATTGTTACATAAAAAAATCTTGTTTGAATATACTGAGCACTCTTATATTGAAGCTTTTTGCTTAAACTCTCTCTCTATCACACACACACACACACACACACACACACACACACACACACACACACACACACACACACACACACACACACACACACACAGGTTCAAGGCCTCCTGTGGAATGATTGAAAATAACCAGCTCAAGATGCTACATTACAAAGGCTGTAGCTCGGCTTTTAGTGCCTGGCAGTCTGTTAATCAAGGCCAATCAACACACACACACACACACACACACACACACACACACACACACACACACACACACACACACACACACACACACACACACACAAACACACACACACACAC